AATACATAATGCGAGTTGCCTGGAAAAGTTCTAAGAAAGCAATTCTCTCTAATCAGATGATCTCTGAATGACTCAAAACGTCATGAATTAATGCAATGGATGGTGAAAATAAAAATGAAACAGAGCTTAGGAATGTTGCATCCGCTTTTGGTTCTCTTGAACAATGCTTTCCTTTTGGGCCACCCAACTTTTCCATGTTTTAAGTATTATGATCACATGTATCAGTAAGATTGTGAAGCACTACTCTTAGTTCTTGTACAAATGCTAATTCTACAGCCTTAAGGCCAGACATTCTAACTGAGTTTCTGAGCACTTACTGTTTTTTTTCAATATCTCATTAGCCCTACATCTAAATAGATTCTATTTTCTAGAAATTTATTATAACTGTCCTTTGTGTAACCCAGAATTTATTGAACATAATGTTTAAGAACATAGACTTGAACCCCAGACCTATATTGAAGTGAAGACCTATCATTTAAAAGCTGTGTCATCTTGAGTAAAACATACTTTCCTTATATGTAAAATGGGAATAATTATGGTACAACTCATGAGATTTGAGGTTAATAAGGTAATACCTATAAAATGCTTGGCTCATACTCTATACATATTATGTGTTCAGTAGATAAAGAATGTTTCTATTATGAATCATTTTTTATTTCTATGATATTGCTATAACAATGCATAAAATGTTTGTCAATGCTTTCAACCTGACTATTCTTTACCATCCCTGAGTACAGAGTAATTTTTGTGTTTCTTGTGGGATTTGGAGCAAAGTTTTAGATATTAGGATGGCAACTTCAGGTGGGCAGAGGATTTTGTCTGCTTCATTCTCTTCTACAGTTCAGATCCCAATGCTATGCCTTATATAGAGCAGATCATAAATATATCTGCTGAATTAATTATATAAGGTCAAAAAATATAAATGGACTATGACATTAGACATAAAATAATAGAAAATCAAGGATGGCAGTCTTACTTCATGTGAACAAACCCCATTTCAAAATTAAATTTATTCTTTTTTGGAATTTTGCATAACAATATACTAATTTAATCTAACAATGATCACTTTTACAATTAAAGTACCGAATGTATACAATGTTAGAATAAATAAAATATTTTCTTGTAGCAATTAATTTTCATCACTTCTTGTTAGAATTATGCTTTGCAATGTTCTTTGTTAAGGAATTTCAAAAGTGTGTGGTTGCAATGTTGATCTATGTAATAGAAAGCATTTATGATATCCTGAAATAGACAAATGATTGTGAACAAAAAGCTTTTTGATATTCTGACAATGTAAAATGTTAGTTTCAGATTGAGATATCAGGGACACATTTTACAATTTGATTTCTACTTATGTTTCTATATTTTTTGTGTCATGTAAAGGTAAGTTTTGCAGGACTAAAAATTGTCATTTTCTATTACAAACTAGATTCATTATTGGCAAAATTCTTCAATCATAAAATCTGACATCATTTAAACTTTCAAAGCTAGGGCAGGAAGCATTATGACATGAGTCAGTTACAGTTAGATAAGTAATCATCCTATGGGAAATATTCTTACATGAGCAAAAAATAGCCATAAAATGACCTAACGGGCCATAAATGCATCTAACTTCCTCTCTGTGTGGGGAACCACCAATGGAAGTCTTTAATACAATGAAAAATAGAATTTTGTTTTTAATTCATGAAAACAGTTAAGTGATAGGGCTTAAGCATGAGAATGCACACTGCAAAATCTTGGGTTTTCTTTTTCTATGTTCCCAATGTGAAGGACTGAAAAATTCAAAGACACTCTAGAGAGTTTTTAAACGCTGTGAAAATGAGACTGGGAGGAGAGAGTGTTTACTGAGCAGGCATTGCATGTCAGGCAGCACAGCCTGGCATTTGCCTACTTCTTACCCACCTAATCTGCCTAGGACCCAAATGGCTGCCAGGAAACGTATTGTAAGAGCCTGAGGGCAGGGGCCTAGTTTAATTGTGCATTGTGCTTTCACATGTAGCCTAGCACATAATTTCTAAAAACACCCTTGTGCTGAATATTTGTGTCTCTCTAGAATGCTGGTTTCTGATAGAGACAGCAAAGACACTGCCACTACCCACTACCGGAGTTCCTCCAAGTTCACTGAACAAAAAGAAGGAACAAGATCATCTGAGGATATGGCCAACCTTGCTTTTTAGTACAAAATGAGGCAAGTAAGGTTGTGAACAAACTTTCATAAATTACTTCTTGCCTTCTTGTGAAACATGAAATAACCTCATGAGAATAATGATTAGAGGAAAGCTTCTTATTGAGCTGTTTTCATCATCCGTGAATCACAATAGCTAACATTAAGAGCTTACTTATTTAACGAGCATTGTCAGTGATTTACAAGAATTAACTCATTTAATCCTCAAGATAACCTTAAGAGAAAGGTCCTATTATTATTTATATTTTACACATGGTACTGGCTTTTTGTGTAGCCACTAACAGTAACTTGTTTAACTTTTTCCCACAAATAAACTGAATCTGGATTGATTTTTGTTTGTTTTTTGTATTTTTGCTGCTTTTATGCTTTTAGTTTAGTTTCAATTCTTGGAACACTGACAGCTATTTAGAATGTAGAATGTAGAATGTAGATGTTGATTACCACTGTAATGTGTAACTCAATTGTTACTTTACCATTCCAAGCTTTGGTCCATGTCTCCTTCTATTCTAAGCACTGAATATCTACATGATTTTTGCTTTCTTCTCTAAAAGAGTCTGGATTGAATTTTTAAAGTATGCTCACGACAGAAGTGCACATAAATAAGTGACTGTCACGTTGGCTATATGGTGCCATATGGACTTTGCATCTTTTCCCATTGCATTTGTGCCCTCCAGGCTTTCTGTATTTTCTATCAGCGGTTTCTGGTTTTCTCCCCTGGGTGTCTTGCTCAGCACTAGTGCCTACTAAATCAAATTTGCTTTTGACAGACAATTTGTATAATTTATTGGTATGTAGGAGTCTCAAAAATGTTTTTGTATCTCCATTGACTTGGTGCAAACTGGATGGTGATGGTCCAGAAAATCATCCTCCCAGCCCCGCAGAAATCACCGTGTGACTCCCGCCATGATTAACTTGAGGCAGCTTAGATGTTGTGTTTGATTTTCAATGCAGTTTGCTGTCAACCCATTTTGAAATAATTATAATGAATCTTCAGATTGGACGTGTACTCTTTTCAGTGGGTGGCAAATCTGTTTCTAAACATATTTCTTCATGAAGCAGATTCCTAGAAGGGTTTATATTTCTTAATTATTCTTTATAGTAAGCATCACCCCATAATAGTGGCATTTGCATTTCAGTAGCAAAGGTTTTGTGTGTGTGTGTGTGTGTATGAGAATGGGCAGAACACGAGTGTACATATCTACTTTTATTTTTGTTTTTATTGTATCATCTGAGGTTCATTCCTCTTGAAAGAAAAAGGATCAAAGGGGCAGAGGAATGTATAATGAAGACACTAAATGATTTAGTCAATTTCAGAGAAATGGTTATCTTATTTATTTATAACAATAAAAATGGTAATTTTGTTTTAATTATCTGAGTAATTGCAATTCCCCTTGTTATGACTCCAGGAAAGAGTGTGACTTTGGGAGATATCGTGCAGATATGTTGTCACTGATTGCTAACTAGTATATACTAAATTAACAAAGCCAACATTGTAGCTTACCATACCCGTTAGGATTAATATTCCTTTCTGGTTATTTTTCCAAAAGTTTGGAAGGCATAGGTGCCTGTGTTTTTATCTAATCACTTCAAAATCACCAATAAGCAGTTGTATTGCAGTTGTATTCTGTGAAAGGTTTTAAACAATAATATCTAGATCAATCATGAGTTTTAGGAAATTATTTTTGTAGATATTTTTCTCTGCTGCCAGAACTTCGGAAATGTTCCATAGAGTGAAAGCCCAATAGGACTTCTGGTTACCATCAGGCTTCTGGAATTTCAATAGAAATGAAAGACAGTGTATGTAAAAACTTCTTAAGATTTTATGAGCCTGTTTAACTTCCTGCAATTTGTTTTTTTAGAAGGTATGTTTATTATTTCCTATCTGATTTCTTTCAGAATGGAGCAGTAAATTCTGAAAATGAGAATGGCCCATGATATTTATCCCTAGGTCTCTCCTCTCAGCCTCAGATGCATAAACACAGCTGCCCATGTGACACGTCTACTTGGGTCACACTCAGGGACCTCAGGGATCACACACCAAAATGGGTCTCTTGATTCCTTGACCTCGCCTCCTTCTCTAGTCTTTCCAACCAAGAAAATGGCACTGATATCCACACAGTTGCCAAGCTAAAAAGTTTATTTAAACATTTTAATTCCAATTTATAGCCTACAGAGCAAAAAGAGCATAAAGCATATGCATCTGATGCATACAGTTCAACCAAACTTCTACTTATGAATATGCTGCGTAACCACCACTTGGATCATTTCCAAGATGCCAGAAGGTTCTTCTGTGACCCTCTGGGAGTCATTGATTTCTCGTTTTTCACTCTTGCTGTTCTTCCATAATTTATCTCAAGCCTTTTCACTTTTATTCATTTTCTCTTCTTTCACCATGATAATCTTTCACCTGGACAATTCAAATAATGGTCTCCCCACTTTTTCTTTCACCAATTCATTATGTCTACAGAGTAATCTTTTAAAAAATACAACACAGATCATTTCATCCCATTCATCCTTAATCTTGCATTTACACTTAGAATAAGAGGAAAATGCATTATTAAGGCTTACAATGAATGCCTTTAAAAAGTGGTCCCTGGAAACCTTCCAATCTCATCCCCTCTGCTCTCTGCATCACTGCTTCCAGGTGTCTGAGTTTGCTGCTGGCTGGTTTTGGTTGTTGTTGCTGCTGCTTCTTTGAACTCCTATAAAATGCCCTTAAGGCCTTTTGCACAGTGTTCCTTTGATATGAAGGTATTTCATCTTCTTTTTCTCTCCTCCCACCCCACTTCCATTCCACACTCATGCCCATACTTACATATTCTCTTCAGTTGGCTACCTCCTTCTCATCCTCCTTTCTCAGTTTAAGCATCACTTCTCCATAAAATGCTTTTACACCCAACCTTAAAGACAGTTTTCAATTACTCCCAGAAAGTCATGTCCTTTTTCTTTACACCACTGAACACAGTTTGCAATTTGTATATTTAAGAGTTTCTTCTAGTTGTGTATCACCTAACCTCTTCTAACTGAGATCCTTAGGGAGGAACCAAAGATGTTATTTCAATCCTGCGTTCTTAACAACAGCACTGCACGCAGCATATAAGAAGTACTTAGTAAATAATTACTGAATGAATAAATAAATGAATGGCTGTGTGCTTGTCTCTGAGAACAGTGCAAAAAGGAAAAACTGAGCAGAAACAGAGGATGATGTAGACAGCGCTTCTGAAGAAAGGTTTACCATGAGAAACTTTTCTTTTTAATTAAATGTATTTCAGAAATGGATCCTGGAAGATGTCTGTTTTCTTGAGCCCAGCACTACTCTGAGAAAAGCATGTCCTCCTAGAATATCCCTGGAGAAGAATTCTGCTGACATAAGTTAGTTTCTCTCCTGGCTAACTCACATGTCCCTTCATCACCACAGTCCATCTCGCTCCATTGGGTTGGGGCACCACCTGGAGCAAGATATTTGCAGACACCTTACTGGTTTGTTTCTGTAATTCCAATAGACTTGGCAGATGATCTGAATCCCGGAACATGGTGCAGGCTGAAAGCAGGGGATGGAGTAGCGTGGGGAGGCTTAAAAGAAGGATGGTAGGAAATCTTTTAGGGGACGAATATAAGGTTGGATTCTATGTGAGTAGTGAATTTTTAATTTTGTTTTGTTTTGTTTTCTTTTTTTGCATTGCATTTCACCTCTGATCATCCTAAGCCATAGTAAAATGTCGTTAAATACCATAACCTGGTGAGTATGGTACTTTGGGTATTTCAAAGTGGACACTGGTTCAATGTTTGGTGCTTAGCCATAATAAGGCAGAATGGCAGCAGCCCAGAGCAGAGTTATGATGTGGAAAGAGGTATCCAACAAAGATGTTTAAAGCAGCAGATCAGAACAAGAGCAGACAAATCACTACAGGATGGATTTGTCCAACATGTCAGCATTCCTTAGGATTTACAGAAATACAAGAGGGAGAGAGCTGACTTCCCATGGCTGTACAGGATAGGACACATTCCATGTCAGTTGGTATTAATGAGATGAGTGATCCCTGAAGCCTAGAGAACTTGGAGACATTTGGGTTACCCTTCTTGGTTAACAAGGCTTAAAATTTTCTCATTTAGACATTCCTATCTCAAAGTATATTGCAACTCAGAAAAATATCCACTACATTAGGGGCTTTAAATTTTTTTTAAAAAGTAGAAACACTGGCTGAATTAACTGGATCATCCATCTGGTACACTTTGGATCGAATCAGCACAATTTTCTTTGTTCAAAACTCCTAAAGTGATCAGCCAACTTAGGAAATGGGAAATTTAACGGACGTAGTGTAGAGAAAGGTCATTTTTGTCCCTGCTGCTCTGTCAGAGTGTATATGGGAGTGACAGAGTTAGGTTTTTAGGAATCCTAGTTACAAAAGAAAACAATGTTTAGGGTGTGGAGTAGTGAGAGAAGACTGGAGTATGAGAAGTGACACATTGCCAAAGGAATATTCTGCTGCCTTGTAATTTTGCTTTTGCTATATTCAATCATCTTTAAGTGAGTCAGCAATGTAATTGGATGCAGTTGCTAAAATATCCAAATAAAATAATCAGCCCTATCCAACTGAATATTTTGGAGGGTGAGAGAGAAACAGAGAACATTTATAATATGTGGCTTTACTCCCCACACTACTGCTCAACAAATTTCACTTAAATTCTGAATGATAAAGATGAGATTGTTTTACTGGCTTTGTGGGATAATTGACCCAAGTCATCTGTGTATTTCATGGAATAATGTGCCTCGATCTAAGAGTAAATACTTAAAGTATTTATTTTCAAGTAGAGATGATCACGTGTGTCATTCCTGGCTGAAACATGAGTGCAGCAAAAACAGGCCGTATCTCTATATTCATGATTTAGAATAGAGGCTGACATTCATCAGGAACTTACTTTGTGCCAAGCCCTGCACTAAGAACTCTGCTTGCATATTTCATGCCATCCTAGCAACAATCCTTTGAGATTGGTACCATAATGATCCCATATTCCACATATGAGGAAAGATATGCTCCAAGAGGTTCCCCAACCTACCCAAGTCCTCACTGCTGGGAAGGATTCAGACCAGAAGTTGGGTAGCGCTGTTTGAGTTCAGAAGCCATGATCTGCCTGCTATGCAACACCACTGCAGCCAATCAGTAGCAGCAGCGATCACTGCTATGTTTCCTATGGATGCAGAGTAAAATGAATGAAAGAGCAACAGGGTCCCTAGTGCTGGAAATATTAGTCAAGAAGTTTGTAGTTCATTCACATATTGTCAACCCCAATTTTGGCATCTGATTATAGCCAAGGTGTGGAACAGTGACTGAAATCAGGAGTCATCATCCCTGGAGCTGGCATTGGCTCCTGCTGTGAGTCCTTGGAAAAATCATTTAGGCTACCTGCACCTACATGTGTGATGTGAAGGGGTTAAATGATCTTATAAGTCAGAAAGCTTTTCCAGCTCTAACATTCCAAGAGTCTAAAAGTCATGAGAGTATGAATCTTCTCCCATCCTCAGCAAATGGGATTAATTTCTAACATGCTCTGTGGCACACTCTGATGTTGCCTGCCCAATGATGTAACTCAAGATCAATGTAGGTCTTGTAAATGGACTTTGGCCAAAGGAAAAGAAAGTTGTACCACCTGGCCACTTGGCAGCAGACAAAAACTTGCAAAAAGGCGGGCAAGAAAACACTTTGCTATCATTGCTCCAGCATGTTTTTATCCAATGTATTTTCTCTCACAGATTGTCTCTACTTGCAAGCTTCCAGGATTTTTAGATGGAATTTTCATCATAGTTGGTTATAGCTTCTCCAGTGGCCTGTCTTCTGGAATTAGCAATTCTCACAAGTAGAAAAGTTTGTTAAGAAGTGGAAGAGTGATTTGCATGTATATGTGTTTACTTTTCATAAATACTTTTATAAATTCTGAGATATGGAGTCTGATTCTCTCCTAAATCAGGTTGCCTGATAAAACACAAGGTTGAAGTTAAATTTAAATGTCAGGTAAATTAGGAATTACACATGATACTCTTATACTAAAAAAATATTTCTTATCTAAAATTGTATTTGATAAATATGGCAGCCTTACTCATGGAAGAAATAATATTTTATTTAGCTTTTTGAGTGGGATTTAGGTCAAAGCTGTCATAAGCTATAACACTGACAATTTGGACTTGCATTTATTACTTTGCCCATGTCAATACTCTAGTGTTAAACATTTCCCATGCTATCAATGTGCTTTCAGTGAGTGTGTTTGTGTTTAAATTTCTGAGGTTATAAGTTTCTCTTTTTTAAAGGAACACACACACACACACACACACACACACACACACACACACACGCACACCATGAAACTCATTCATAAAAATCAAAGAGATCCTAAGCATTGATATGAGGACTTCTAAAGAATGTAGCATATTTTGGCTAACATCTGTGACTGTGTTCTTTGAACTAATTGGGAAATATTGCATGCTGGCAGGCTTTAATAGAGAAGTATGTTTTCTCTTAAGGGTGATTTGTCTAATTGGCTGTAGAAATGCTTTCTCTCTGCTTCAGAAAGCTTTTTTTCCATTTGCTAATGGTTCAGCTTCCCCACCCTTCCCCCACTCCAAGGCTGATGTTACACAGAGTTCACTGACCTCTCTTTGGAATTCTGTCATTAATCCGGACAAGGGTTCAGACCTGAATCAACTTGAAACAATGCATTTCACGTTCTGGCTAGCAATGACTTCCTTTACACAAGGTGTTGGAAGAGATGATCTCTGAAGTTCCATAGTCTGCCATTTCTCATCCAAAGTAGGGATGGGCCTAGGGAGTGGGAGGAGGATAAATCAAGAAAGTACGAAATAGGGTTTTAGTTATGGTTTCATTTCAAAGCTCTCCCATCCTGGGCCCTTTGGCTACAGTGAGACTAGGTTGCCCCAAAAATATGTATATTTAAAAAAATCTTCTGCTTCTTAAATGTCTTCTGGATTCCAAATAATTTAACATTTTGCTATAAAAACACAAAATTTAGCTATAATATTAGAGACTCCAAAAATTGTGTCTGTATCATCCTATATATCAAGGTATTGAATGCATCTTAATATGTGAGGAAAATTTTCAGGTTGATGCTTGGCAAAGGAAAGGTGATATCCAGGAGGCCACACAAAATGAACAGAGACGCTGGTTCAGGTGACTGTATTAATGTGGAGAGCCAGACAACTGGCTAGGTCAGGAAGCCAAATGAGTCATACTGACTCATATTTTCATACCATTGCAAAGACAATGCATATGGAAGGACTGCGTGATCTGTTCTCAGACTAGATTAATTTCTAGTTTCATAACCTTCATTGCCCTTAATACAGCAGAGAGGACACTGATGTCATTGGCAGTATGCTGCAGAAAAACAGGTGAAGATAAACACTGGTGCCCTTCCTCTGCCAAACAGTCAAACCCTGAAGAAGAGAGAAGATGTGAGTCTCATTATTTCCTTTTGAAGGGTAAAATCAAGGTTATTTCAATGTATTTTTCAACATCAGCTTTGGTGAGAAAATCGGTTTGATTTCTAACTCAGAGACTCATGTTTGATATTACTGCAAAATAGTTAAAGGCATAGAATACCTCCTAGAAAGAAAGATTCCATACTGCTACCTATACAGAAATGATTTGTAACTCATCCTTCATCCCAAAACTCAGCTTTTTATTATTTATTTATTTATGTGCTAAAGAAGTACATTGCCGAAATATCCATTTAAGATGTAAACCTTTATCACAATAACTGTTCTTCCACCTAGTGAAATCTCAAATATCCCTTTAAAAAAAAAAGTACATAGAGTATATCTGACTCAGCCCTCTCAAGAGAAAGAGAGAAAAAATGAAATTCATGGGAAAGGATGCTTCTTGGTGGAGGGGACATGCATTGGACAGGTTTACTATTGGGAGAAGTAGCTTTGACAGGCTAAAAAGTCATCTTTTACAGGCCTCTGTCTGGTCTTTGAAGTCCCTTCTGATTGAGATTTGTCTAAGTTTTCACGACCTCTCTCTTCCCTTTTCTTCATTGAAAATAACAGCAAGTAGTTTAAAAGACGTAAAACTTGATGCATCAGGAGGAAAGATCTCTCTGGTTCATTACAATTATCATTTATTAATTACTACATGAGCGGTTTGTGATTGTAATGGTCTTAGTTTAGTCTCCCTTTAGAGAGTCAAGCTAAATTTTTTTAAAAAGCAAATGGTTGACTTCCAAGTAAGTGTGTTCCTATGAGCTTTTTCTGTTTCCTTAGTGTTCAAAAGATGAATACAATGTGGTTTTAAAAAATTTAATAAAAGTAAGTTTCTGATATCTGATTTGTGCTGAATTTTTCTTTTTCTTTTAAAGATAACCCCCTATCATATCCCATGATTTAAACCTAATTAACCTAGGGAAAAAGGAATGAAAAAAAATGGCATTGCATTTGTGTTATGGATCTTTTCAGTACTTATTACAGAGGTCAGAACTCTATGAAGAAGCAATGTTTTCTTATCATTGTTTCCAGTTAGCTTTGTTTGATGAATGAAATTAGATACAATGTGAGCAGAGTTCTTCTAATAGTAGGATGGTTCATAAATTCTTAAAGAAACAATAATGATTGCAAAGGATTTTTATTTGAATGGTTTAGTTTGGCATAGTATTGCACTTTTAAAGAATAGATTTGCGTATTCCTTATCAGCTAAACCAGCCATGACTATATAATTGTAAAACCCCAAAGTGTTTAGGATGAGTTCAACAGAAAAAAAAGGTGACAGCATTAAACTTTGTCTTTAATGCATTTCTTCATTATTACCAGATACCAGTGGGATTTGGTGATACAATTATGAGACTATGCCTAAGGAGAACAATAAAATAATTTGATAAATGAGACTATTGAAATTAAATAAGTTTAAAAATCATTTAAATGGTAATATTAATAATTTAAAACAAAAGATAGCCAAACCAGCAAGAGATTTATAGGTATAAATAAATATCTGTTTTACATGTGTCTTCATTCTGAAAAATAGGGATACTCACTAAAATGTTTCTAGGAAAATGATTGTATTTGTCAGATACCAACAAAATAAAGTGGAAAACCAGACTAGTTATTGACTTGAATAAAGCCATTCTATCTTCTACCTCCAAGAATAAAAACAAAAGCATATAAACACAGAAGCATATAAGAACAGATACCAAATTTACATCTCAATCATCAAATATTTCCAGATGACAGACATTTCTGAGGGCTCAGTGTCTGTCTTTGCTTTAATAGGAAAATAAATGGCCTTTGAAATAAAAATGAAATGTTTTATTTCTTATACAAAATATTCTTGTGATGACTAGAAGAAAACCAGTGACTAAATTCAACAAAGATTCAAATATTTCATGACACTTCTAGGTCACATTCACACATATTTTTCTTTGCTTTTCTACAATAAGTTCAAGTGAGTAAATATGGAGTTGGCATGAAAGCCTGATGAGAAGCTAGATTTCCAACTTTATATTACTTTGCGTACTTTCTTCTCTTGATAATTGAAAATTCATTTTTGCAATTTACATTGCAAATCTATTAACAGGATACAAACTGCTATACCTACATTTTTACGTGCTCTCTTTCCTACCTAAGTAACTCTGGCTTCCCTGACTTTCTCACATTTTTCTGAACAAAAACAGTCAGGGCTAACTATGAGTGGAGAAATGAGAATTTCGGTTTTTATATCATTGATTTGAATAAATTTTTTGAATAAAATAGTAAATTGGAAATTCAGTCTCAATGATCGTGGTTTCCACCTTAGGGTCATCCTCTGAAACACACACTACCTGTACTTTGTTCTGCATTTGGTCTCTGTCCTTCATTCTGATAATTTCAGCAATGCACATAATGAAGACACAATCCTCTCCCCCTCTTCTTATCTTGTTAATTTTCAGACCTTAGAAGTCTACCATATTGATGTTGGAAACTCCTAGCTTTGTATGTAGTTTGATCTCATTCTGTCTTCAAGCTGTGTGCAGCATGTTAAACATCCTTAAGTTACCCAATTATTGTCTCTCTGGAAGCCCAAGGTATAATACAATGTCTCAAGTATCTTTTCATGTACCCCTGCTTTTCTATTTCTGACCCCCACAAAATCAGAGAAACTCTAAACAACATTATGTCTCCTTTTGAACTAAAATTGGCTTATTCCTACAAATTCCCTTTTTTTCTTTTCTTCAGATGTTAGCATCCTCTGTGTTTATTATGCTCCAGTGTTCCATCCCTCCCAATTTATTTACAACCCATTAAAAGCCAAACATTTGGAAGCAAATCCAGTGTAAATATTGGAAAGATTCCTGGTTCTAATTGAGATATATTGACTTAGTCTTCACAAACTCAAGGCATGTATTTTAGCATTTTTCTTTCCATTTTCCCTGTGTATTCTATCTAAACTGCACGCGCGCGCACGCACACACACACACACAAACACACACACACACACACACACTCAATTTAAAAAAATAGGTCTGTGCTCAAGCAGGAATTGTCAAAATAAAAGTAGATTAGAGTCTTTGAAGAGAGGTCTTAAGAGCATACTGCTCCCCAAAATCGCTGGTTTCAGAATGGCTTTAGGGCTCTGAGATTGAAAAGTGGAGTTTCTTCTTTCTGATTGCAAAAGTAATAAATGCCTGTGAAGAGGATTTTGAAAATACAAGAAAAAAAATTCAAGCAAAAGAGAATCTTATGTACAATCTCACCACGAGAGAAAACCACTGTTTACACGTTACTATATTTCCCACATATGTTATGGCAATTAAAAAATGTAATCACTCTAGAGAGATAACTTATACCCAGCTTATAGTTTTCCTCTTAGTATTTCATAATGAGCATTACATTTACATTCTCTGAAAACACATGGCGTATATGTACTAGCATTCATTTAGCCATGCTAGGAACTTTAAAAATCTATTCTTCTGCTCAAGAAAATAATTTCTTACATGTATGTAATTCTCAAAGGGCTTTCAGATACTTTACCCAACTTAGATCCTCAACAGAACAAGAAAGATATTATTGTCATCTTCATTTCACAGATGAATAGCTGAGTCCTGAAAGATTTGTGCCTGGACCCAAGATGAGAGGGATCTGAGCCAGTGCCCGTAGGTATCTGCTTCACCTTTGTTCGCGGTGTCAGTGGCAGAGGAAAGCCAATGATGACCAAACCTGAATGTTACAAACTGATCGGAAGACCATGCACAATCCTGTCTTTGTGTTCCCTGCTTCTGTTAATGGTGCCTTCCCAGAACCTAAAGTTGAGTGTCGTCTTTAAGAAATCTCCCTTCTTTATGCTAATATGGAATGGCAGAAAAAGCAAATCTCTGTGGCTCACAGAAAAATTCTGAACTCTGTGACTGGAAATTAATGCTGTTTGTAGTCTAGACCCTGCCACCTCTCCCACATCCACCCACTATACACCTGATGCAAGTTTTTCTCCAAGTATGAACTGTGCTCCCTTCACAACAGAATCACTTGTGATGATGGTTCATGATAGGTTCTGGGGCCCCACTGAGACCACTGAAATATAATTTCTCGAGGTAGACATGAGAACCTTCCATTTTAAATAGTTTATTATTCTTAAGTATGAGAATGCAGGAATGTTCCAGGGAAACTGAACCACTCTCTTTCTTAGCATGCCCATATTCCCCACCATCTGTGCTTTTCTCAGATGGTTCCTCTTTTCAGTTTCTGCATGCTCAACTCTTGTTCACTGATACGGTTTGGCTGTCTCCCCACCCAAATCTCATCTTGAATTGTAGCTCCCATAATCCCCACATGTTGTGGGAAGGAACTGGTAGGAGGTAATTGAATCATGGGTCTAGGTTTTTCCATTGCTGTTCTCATGATAGTGAATAAGTCTTATGAGATCTGATGGTTTTATAAAGGGCAGTTCCCCTGCACACTCTCTTGCCTGACGCCATGTAAGATGTGCCTTTGCTCCCACTTTGCCTTCTGCCATGATTGTGAGGCCTCTCCAGCCATATGGAACTGTGAGTTCATTAAAACTCTTTTTCTTTATAAATTATCCTGTGTCAGATATGCCTTTATTAGCAGCATCAAAACAAACTAATACACTCACTCCTCAAAGCCCAGCTGAAATGCCACCTTTCTTAACAGCACTACCTGGGTGGCACCATCTCTAAATAACTTCTCCTTTTCCTGAGCTCCTATGCACTCACTACTTACTGAAGGAACCCACATTGCTCACTCTCCTACCGTACTTTAGAAACTGCATTTACTGAGTAACTCTGTCACATATCTTTAAATTAGTTATGAAACTTAAGGCAACATTTTTTATCTGGAGGCATTATGATGCTTCTATTT